TAATATATATATATATATATATATATATATATATATGTGTGTGTGTGTGTGTGTGTGTGTGTGTGCATATATTGGTGTCAATTTTGTAATTTATTGCATTTAAAAATATTATAACATACTTTTTTATATACAAACATATGAAATAGTGCATGTTGAGAATAAACTGGTTAAATTTTCAAAATGCAAACCATACAAAATTTAAAAAATACAAGTCTAATAGGCTATGTATTAGTAATAGTCTCCAACTCTCCACATTTCATAATAAGAGAAAAGTTTACGAAGCTTCATCGAACCACAAAAAATACTTTTCAACGTCAAAAATAGGTATAGGTAAGAGATTGAAGGATTATAGAAGTGTTCTTTTAACTTTGGGGGTTGAAATAACCCTCAACCTATTTAAACCTTTTTGGGGGTCAAAATTACCCCCTTGGCCCTTTTGGGTATCTTTAAAATAAAAAAAAAGGCCCATGTTCCTGGGCGCCTGCCCAGAACTGAGCGTTGGGAGCCCGCCTAGACGCCCACCCAGGTACAACCACCGAAAATGAGGCGTCTAGGTCTAGGCGTGCGGTCAGAGGTGTCTTGGGTGCCTAGGTGCCTGGAAGCCTCCATCTAGTTAAGAATCAAGGTGCTCTTGTGCACTTAACTAGGGTTCCATAGGTCCGAAGCAGTCCATATAATACTAGAACTAATCAATGAACTTCTTAAAAAATTGAAAATTTTATTTAAAAATGGAAGAAATCCAATTATTCTATAATGACTTTATATTTTTGTACACTAAGTGCAGTTTAAATTTTAATTAAAGTAATAAAAAAATTTCTTTGACCTAATATAACATTGGTTAGGAGGGGCAATTTGGTTCAAGTGTAAGGCGCTAAAAGGGCAAGGAAAAGATCCAAAAGGACATGGATAGAAGTAGTGAGAAGAAATATGATGGCTTATGGTCTGATTGAGGGTATGGCCTATTAATAGAGCAGAATGGCAGAATAGGATTCATGCAGCCGACTCCAAATACTTAGTATACGGCTCAGATGATAATGATAAAAATTTTAAAGAAATCGAAACTTTGTAAAAAATAAGAAAATTTAAATCATTATATAATATTCTAATTTTTGCAATCTTTGAGTTTAGTTTATGACTTTTTGTAATGTAAGAACAACCATGGCCATCTTTCTTCGTTCAATAACAATTATAAAGATAAGTATTAAGTTGAAACCCAAGGAAACTCACAACCTGTTAAAGAACCCAAAAGGGACAATATCATCTACCACCATTGGAGATTACATGTGAACAAAACATGCAACTAATATGTTATATAATACTTAAAAGTGTTAACTAATTATGCAAAATAACCATTACTTAGCATTAAATTGAAGCTCAAGGTTCGTACTCATAATCTATTAAAGAGGGCAACAGGGACAGTAGAATCCGCCACTAAGGGAATCTTGATCCCACATTTGTGGAAGCTCGGTCCAGTTTACTATAAATATGATGCAGAGGATTTTGAATCCCATCTAACACAGGACCTCAATGCCAAATAGGAAGGATCCGGAACTCAAAAAAAAAAATTTGAGAATAAGAACCCAAAATTTAAAAATTACAGAGAAACGAGGACCCCCCCGCCTGGAGTGCAAAAGAAAGCTTCTAGAGTGGGTTTGACCCCTTTGTTGAGAGATCCCAGTAACTTATGCTCAGCCTTCATATGGTCAAACCATGCTCAGTTCCATCCTCACCAACATAAATAGATTCCTAGTCCTACCAGAATGGAAAGAGCAATACGTAGGAACCCACTCCTACACTCTTTCCAAAGCGACTTCCAACCATCACAAGATCAATCATTTAGCAACTGCTGAACCAAGCTTCTTACAAACTAAACTTTGATAGCTGCTCACTAGGCAACCCGGGCCCTACTAGCTTCACTACGATCTTGAGAGACAACCAAGGCCTCAGGTTTCATTGGAGTAGTCAACACGGCCATGTCTGAAATCATTGCACAACTCAAGGTTTTAATAATGGGCCCTCGTCGTTGAAGAGAACCCCAAGAACGCCATACTGTGGGCCTCCAAAAGCACCCGATGCCCGTGGCAACTCATTCCTCCCTTTGACATAAAGGATATCTACAGCGAGATCAATGAACCTAAGTTGGAAGCCTCCACAGAAAGAGAAACTGCAGCTGACTGATCGACAACTAGGACTAGAGGGATGCCTGGAGCCTGAGCCAGAGTGAGTCATACCAAACAATGGTTCCACAACATCGAAGCCTGAGCAGTCCTCTTGGGTAACAATGCCACTTGATTTATGCCTCAAGGGATAAATAAGACAAGACGGTTTTGAGGTAGGCAAGTAGCTGACAGCTAATAGATCTGGTTGGAAAGGGAGCATGTCACATAGGGAAGAAGAGGCTGCGCAGGTCTAGCAGTGTTTACTGATATCTGTGGCATGCATGCATCCTTTACTGGTGAACATGGCCTCAAACAGGGTTGAGAGGATAACTTAGCCTGAGTTTCTGAACAGATATTGCTTTCTTCGGACTTCCACTCAAGTGGAATGCCCAGCATGGGAGCTTTGAACCGGTAAATAGAATATCGTTCTAAACCCAAAAAAAACTCACCAAGTCAACTTGATTAAGCTCCTTGCTCTGTTTTATAAATCCAAAACTCAGGTACGCCGAAGTTTAAAGAATACATAAGAATTTTTGTGATATATTATTACACAAATAGCACTCCAAAGTGGTAGCAAAGTCATTTTGACTTGGTACTAACCTTAGTTTTTCATGCATCTTCAAAAAATACATTGAAAACTCATCCGAGTTTTGCGAGCCTACACTTCATCTCAGCAATTCAATTTGGTTTTGGCAGGGGCTGACTTGAGCACTGAGTTCAAGTTTCTGAACACCGCTTTGAACATGAGTTAAGCAAATGCAAAGCCACAACCAGGTGCCAGAAGCCTGAGAACTCTGGCCATAGCCCCATGGACGCTCAATATTGCTGCTGCTAACTGTCGTTATAAGCTTTCAAGTCGTGTTTGGTCCATAGTCCATATTTTTCGGGAGGCCAATATGGTCGCCGATATTCTTGCCAAGAAGGCCACAACTTTCTCAGATGCCACTGTTTGGCGATCTAGACGCCGGATTTTCTTTCTCTTGTATTATTTCATGATATGGCACAACTGCCCTACTCTAGGGTCGTAAATTTATGAGCAGTATTTTCTTTTTTATTATTAATGAAAAACAGGTAGGGGGCCTTCTCCCCCACTGACTTACTCAAAAAAAAAAAAAAAGGACCAGTTGTTTCCATACAAGACCTAACAACTGGAAAGAGGGCCCCCAAAAAACAACATAACCCCTCAAACCAAATCCTAAGCAGGTCTTCCTTTCTGAAACACTTGACATGGGTACCCACCTTCCGTATCTTAGGGGCAGATGACGGACTAGGGTGCTGTCCAAAGAAATAGCCTACTGGAAACACCTGGAATCCACTTCAAGCTCTACTGCTGAATAGAGGAAGGAGACAATCTGCCTTAAATTCTTAGTATGTTAACAATTTTTATGACAGACAAGGTATGCATGCTTGCAAAGTTTTATTACAATCAAAGGGGGTAAGGAATCTAAAACTATCCTTCAGGCCCCTTGTTCTTCAAGGGCTGCTGACATATGTGGCATGTACATGATCAAAATCAAACAACAGAAAATCCTCTTTCTTGCCCATATTAACCAATCTGCCCTAACTAGTTTTGAATACTGGCCATGACATTGCAGATGATTTGTCCAAACCCAAGATCTTGCTAGCTTCATTGCTCTGATACATAGGTTGCTATCAGAGATAATGGGTTTGATAGATCAGAAAGAGACCCAGGAAGTAACTACGGCTCTCCCAAAAAACATTTTTCAAAAACAACAACTTGGAACCTCAATATGCAAAATTATAGAGAGATCAAACTCCAATATACTCGAAGCAATTTTTTTTAATCTAATTCTCAAGCAACCGTACCTTCTCAAATATAAACTCAAAATGTATCCAGATGCATGTGTGAAATGGTTCTAAAAAGAGAAATGTGCTAGCAAAAAGCGACCTTCAAGTTTCCAAAAAAACGTTGCAAGGCTAAAGAGTTCTAGGAAAATAGCATCCACGGCGGGTACAATAGTATTGAAATATGACATGAAATCAAAATCCTAATCAGTATATTTTGAAAAATAGGTCAAGAGAAACACGAGAATAATAGGTTACCAGCTATCTCCTTCTAAAACCCACTAAAAATTAAAAAGCCCTCCAACTTTGTACTTTGGTTTATGACAAGTTCAACTCAAGCACAAATCTGCTGGGCGACCCAGGTTTCTTTCAAGCAAGCCAGTCATATTTGCCTTTCCAGAAGGGCCCTAGAGCTCTTTCTAAAGATACTATATAGCCAAGATAAGCAACTGATACAACTTATCTCTTGCTAGATGAATCTAGTGGCACATCCTTCTCAAACCAAGTTGTATGAAGTATTGTTCAAAAACTCAAAACTCATCTGTCAACTTGGTCCTGGACAAAATCAAGTTTTCTATTTGAGAAAGTCTGACTTGTTCCTGGCCAAAACCAAGTTGTTTTGTGAACATGAATAGTTAAATCGGAAGAACTCGCCCGATTTTTTAATCAAAAAAATTATGCATTATAATATTAAATACCTAAGCATATGATGCTTCTGTACTAAAAAATAAAGTATGGTATATAACTAGTGAATGATCTGAATATCTAAAAACATACACAACATTTAAGATGATGTATCCCAAAAACAACATGCATATAATAACTAAATTAGATATATACAACATAGATTGTGAATCAAAAATATACAAATTTATGGTTCACATAGGATACTAAAATTCATATCCCTGTCCTACCTTTAGAAAACTGCAGAGTTGAATCCCATTGTCTGGTATTTATATTTGGGTATAGAATTAAACGTCATTTGAGTTCCTAGGCAACATTCTTTAACACATCTGGTAAATTCAAAAGATTAAGAGTTCATATGGTAAATCATAGTTACAAGGATCCAGATCTAATCAGATCTGGGATCTGGATCAGATTGCAGGATTGTGACCAGTAGAAAAATCCCTATAATAGGGATCATGGCCTGTAAACCTAAGAAATCTAGGGATCTCGATGGGAAGCACAATCCAAATTTAATTGGGATCAAATAATAAATTATATACGACTGAGATCCATCTAGTTTTATGTCAAAGCTCCTAATAGGACTTAACTAGTGTAGGAGCAGAAATATATATTACTATAATATTAAATACTATTATAACAAACCATACTGCTATACTCTAGTACAATGCTATGCTATATGCTGTATTGTACTATACTATTTAATTTAATGTATACAACTGTATGATATATCCAACATACTATATCGTATATAATATACTGTGCTATATCAAATTTCCTTATACTATACTACTATTCTATACTTTACTACTATACTAACTCCAATGCTATACTAACACTAAGGATCAAGATTCCAAAAATTAGGAATTGCGGAGGAGCAAGATCCCCTTCCCCGGAGGGCAGGACCAGGATTCCAAAGCGGAATCAACCCCTTGGTAGGTGGAACCCGGAAACTATGGTCAGGATTTGTTCATAACACCAGATGGCCTCTCTCTATCAATAACATATCTTAAACAACATTCGGCATCATAGCATTAATGCAAAGAAAACACAACCATTTGCAACATTAATTGTCAGAAAATGAACAAAAACAGATATGATTAACATAAAGAAATATTAAAAGCCATGAAAAAAGTAATAAACCATGCAATTATTCCACACTTGTATCATGTTTCAAAGAAATACAGATGTGATTCAGAACAACAGAACTCTGCCTAGAATAGCATATACAAGCACGACTGCTAAATATGGAGGGCCATAATAGCAAAATAAAATATCTAAATGCACTCCCCATGCGACATTGGTTAGTAAATAAACCTCAAGACTGTTTCATGATTCCATATTTTGTATGATATGCTATGGTATAAACCAAAAAATAGTTACACAAGAATGCAATGGCACTTCTTTTACCTGATTGTTTACAATGGATGCTGTCAGTCTTTGGACTTCACGTTCTTCATGGTCAGCAAATAACTTTGCTTTCATTGCTGCAGCAGATAGGCCAACCTTGACAGCAACTTTCAGCTTTTCAGAAGACGGACTACCAACTGATTCACTTTTACCAGACAAGCCTTGCATTGATTTGGAGTCATCTGCATCTATTCCATTATTCAACAGAACAGAAAACAAAATCTAAAGTAAAATCGAGAGTCCAAAACCACAACAAACCTTGTTGATGGATTATATTGGGATCATTCCCTCGAAATCCAGGATCCCGGCGATCACTCTCCAAACATTTCCTTCAACGATAGATAAATTCAATTTAGTTGCCTATTATATTGATTCAACTCAAAATTTAATCAGACAAATAATCAATATGTACGAGCATTCCGGACACAATTATAGATAGAAACAGCAAAGTGTTTTAGCAAGAATTACCCCAGTTCCTGTACTATGGCAAGAAGGAAAATTATACAGTGCACATCCTGTTATCGGATATAATAAACATGCAAGGCATCTACAGTCCATTTTCAAGATGGAGGGTAGGGATGATCTGTCATTCTGGATTCATGCCTGTCACCAGAATTACAGATACACTAAATGTGTATTATGTACCAGCAGAGGATGCCTATGCCATGGCTATATTGCAGAAATAAAGTTTGAATAGAAAGAACACAGACCCCACCTATCACCTTGGGCGGAAACTTCCATATTTAAGGGGGAACTATTAGCAACCGTGCAGTCATCTTCCTTGGACAGTTCAACTAATGCAGCATGTGCACAGGCTGCTGCAACTCGTGGACCTATGGCAGATGCCAAAAATGCAACCTGAAAAACTTATCCAAAAATCAAAAGTGATGCATATGAGCTCCATTTTTGCAATTCATATGGAGTAAAAAAGTAAAGTTAGAATTAAAAAGTGTGGTAGTGATATCCTGGATGACATAAAGAAGCAAATGACAGAATAATTCCTATGAATAACTTGCAATTGAACAATCAATCTAATGCCAATGTTCAAATAGAGCAACAAGTGACCAAAACAGTTCATGGAGCTCAATTGATCCACTGCTCACAATATTCATAAGTTCCTGACCTATATTCATAAACAATTTTCAATCGAGTTGCATACAATCCACGTTCATATGTTTTAGCGTCCCAGGAATTTTGTGAGCAAAAAGAATATCATGATTGGACCAATCTAATCAACAAAAAATATGCCAAATGATCTATCTCAGTATGTCACAAAGGTCTCAGATCTCATCAACTCATTCTCCACAGATGGAAAGTGGATATTACCTTGGATTAGCTAGAGGGGAGTAGCTCAAGTGGCCAGACCAAACGTAGACATAAGGAATGCTTCAATGTGATTTGATACTGTCTCACCAGGAAAAACTCAGAATGTAGAAGATGATGAACTCGGAGTGAATAGAACTTAAGGGAAAGGCCAACTACACACACGGGAAGTCGCAACATATAGCAACTTTCAGAAACCTTGAGACCATGCAGGAGATTATGTAATATATATACATATAGGCACGAGAGTATGCCTACCACATCAAGAGACTGAAACACCAAACAGTGCTGCACAACAAGATGTATCCAATCCCAACTCCATAAAAGATAGTAGAACAAAACCTCGTTGGACAATACCACAAGACATACTACCAAAGATCAATATCAAAGGCAGTATTATTTTACTTAAAAAAAAATTATGAATTAACTGTTTATATTTATGTGGATAAACGATGTACAATGGGTGGTAAATAATATATATGCCACCCCGGGTAAAAAAAATGGGTTGTGCATTTGTATTGTTGGGATTTGTGGCCTTTAAAGGCTGTGACAGCTTGTAAATACAATTATTGGTATTGATTTGTACACTTCATTGGGAGTGTACTGTGGCTGACTGACCTAGGGATGGGCGGTCTATGGCCTAGGTCATGTCCAAAAACTTTTCCCTTAGGCATAGGCAAGGGTTTATAGATGACCATCCCTTCTTAAGGTCAAAGATATGCCTAGCGACGTTGTTTGTAGGCTACCAGAGTTGTATGGTCTCCAATGTGCGGAGGTAGGCCTGTGAGAGCAAGGCCTTAACAAAACTTCCACACGGCATGTACATCCTATTGTGATATATACACATTTTACTTCCTCTTTTACTTTTCTTTCTTTTGGGGGGGGATGGGGGGGGGTAAGGTGGGACTTATAAAACACTTACTGGGACTTTATTAGTCAACTTTGAGGGGCCAATCATGAGCCCCTGCACTTGATTGTGGGGTTAGGGCCCCGTTGGGTTGGTTTGAGAAGACAGTTGTAGATTATGGATCCTAGCAGAGGTGGAGTGCCATGACAGTCACCTGTTATTTGCCCTATTTGGTACCAATCCACTTCTAAAAGGTACTTCGGTGTGTTTTATATTTCATAAGAACTCCAGAAATACTGATTTCAGCTAAAAGTGTGTTTTTTTTGGATATTTTCAGAATTTTAAAATGTCTTTATTTGTAATAAGAAAACCCCTAAAGGGTATTTCTGTAATTTTTTAATAAAGGGATTTGTAGAAATTATTTAGGTGGGCCCCATGTGAGGGGGGGGGGGGGCTAAGCACCTAGCCCCCACGTGTGGGTCCACATGGGAGTGTCACGTGGGGCCCACTAGGGCCACACCCCATTAAATGGACACATGGATTTAATTTTAAAAAAATGTTTTTCAAAATAAATTCCTAGAATTTATCCTAGAATATTTTTTATTTTTGTAGATCTATATAATCTTTGACCAAACTTAATTTATTTGAAATATTAATTCTCTCTTTGTGAGAAAAGGATTTCTAGATAATTCTAGGTGATAAGAATTAACTGGTCAAAGTTCTAGATAGATTAGAAGTGGATATGGATCAAATCTCAGAGGATAAAATCCCTAAATATTCATTCTATGTCATGACGGCTGATCTTATAGATGAATGGCTCAGATTAATTCTCTCTCACCTCATAAATTATCTAATTAATTTTAAATTATGTTGTGTGGAATGCCACCCCCCCTAAGTGTTGGGGTGGCACGCACCTACCTAGAGAAGTAGAGACCAAGCACAGCCCTAACTTTTGGTTTTAGGGGAGGTGCCATCATGACATGCCCCAAATGAAAAAGGTGCTTCATGAAACCCTAATTGCGACCCAAGCTCTCTTGTTCGATAAGTTTCAGATAAGGGTGTCCTAGAGTTGCTTCCCGGTTTGGATTTGTGGATTCGGTAAGATATACAATTTTAAAGTGCGTCATCGGTCAGGTGATCAAGTGTGGGGTATCATGAGCCCTAAGGGGTAAGTCTAGGCAAAAGTCAGCAAGTTTTTCCTCAGTTTTTGAATTTATTTTTGTTGTTCTTGTCTTATTTTGCTTCCTAAAGTTGTTAATTTATATTTGAGTTTCAATAAAGTTTATTTGGCTAAAATTTTAAAGATCGTAGAATGTAGCAGGTTTGATTTATTGCATTTGTGGCACATGTAAGTAGAATTTTATAGTAATCAATAGATAAAAGAAATAAAATTTTGTTATTTTATAGCCTGAAATTCTACATACCCACTGCTTTCATGTACATGCGATTAGTTTGTCAAAATTGTGCAGTCAAGGGGATCTGGAAATGTTGGGATTTGTCCAAATGCCCCTTCTATTCATAGAATCAGCCAGGGAACTCTCGCCATATGTGCTTGGTAGACACTTGGTCACATACCAAGGTCTTTGCTGCTAGCCTATGCCGTTCTTATGTGTATTGGGCTGCCAAGTCCTTGTGTGCACAAGGATGGGACATCTTGAGACTGCACAAACACACCTTTGTAAAGGTTTATCATCTCAAAAAACCTGGCACACCAAGGGAAGTAGCTAAATTTCTCAAATTATCTACAGTATGTATTGGACTTGTGAGTCATTTCCACTTTGGTATGTCGCAAAAGGAGGTCCTACATACCTGATGCAGGGAGAAAATAAAACCGGAATAATAAAACTAAAAAAAGAAAATGGTTGAGAGAATATAACCTCTCTCAAGGTCTGCAAAGGAATCCAACCCAAAACGATCTTTTCACAAGATCAAATTTACTCAATTCTCATTCTTTGATCCCTTTACAATGAAGGATATCTCCCCTTTAAATAAAAATATATAAACAAATAAAAAAAACTCATAAAATAACCTCCTCCTTCTTAACCCCTTTTTTTTTACTTACAATGTAAAATACTCTCTCTCTCTCTCTCTCTCTCTCTCTCTCTCTCTCTCTCTCTCTTGTACCACCTATATCTCTTCCTTATTTTCTCTCTCACGTTCTTCTAATCTGATCCACACCTTCCCCATATCTAAATCCCTTAAATTTCTCACCTCTTATTCAAATCTTATCTTCTTCTCAATCTCTTCTTCTCCCAACATGAGGCCCCATAAATCTCTAACTAAATCTCCTAAGTCCATGAAAATAGGACTTTCCCATCTTAAGCCGCTTTAATATAAGATAAATTTAAAAAGCAACTCACACCAAGATTTACCTTTTCTTAAAACTCACACCATTCCTTTCCTAAAAAGAAAAAATTCAAAAAATAATATAATTATAATTTGGAATTTTTTCTTTGTTTTTATCTGCATCATTCTCCAAGGGTTGGGAGAAACTCGATCTTGAGCTTGAAGTCAATCACCATCTACTAATTGGTGATGTAGTTCCACCATGTGCCTCGGCACTTTTTCTTCAAAAAAAAGTTGGAGCTCTGCATCTTACTTGATGCCGGGAGAAGTAATAATAAACCATATTTTTTGAATTTTTCCTTTTTAGAAATTAGGTGGCTTGAGTTTTTAGGAAAGGTAAATCTTGGTGTGAGTTGTATTTTAAGCTTATCTTATATTAAAGTGGTTTAAACTAGGAAAGTCCTATTTTCATGGACTTAGGAGATTTAGTATTTAGTTTAAGATTTAAGGGGCCTCGTGTTGGGAGAAGAAGAGATTGAGAAGAAAAGGAGATTTGAATAACAGTTGAGAGATTTAAAGGATTTAGATAAGGAAAAGATAAGAGATTGAAATATGGTAAAGGTGTGCATAGGAATGGAAGAAAGTGAAAGAAAATAGGGAAGAGATATTGGTGGTATGTGAGAGAGACAAGGAGATTATTTTTATGAGTTTTTTTTATTTGTTTATTTTTTCTTTCATCTAAGTGTATTTAAAGGGGCAAGGTCCATTTTTGTAAAGAGAAGAGAATGAGAATTGAGTAAAATTGATCATGTAAAAGATCTTTTTAAGATGGATTTCCTTAAAGACCTTGAGAGATGGTATATTCTCTCAAACTTTTATTTTCTTTTTAGTTTCTGGTTTATTATTATTTCTCCCTGCATCAATACCTCACTTACCCCACATGCATGACACTACAAACAGTGTCTGGAGAAGTGTTTTTGGGATTCCTACACATGCTTTGGGTGGGAATAGCAAATGCATGGCAAGAATAGCAACCCTCTTTTCTATATTGACAATGAAAATAAATAAATTCTAGCAATTACTAAATATTAAGGTAGTATCATTCAGCTAATTACTGGATTTCTTTCCCTAGCATAATCCCAATTTTGTAGCCACCCTCCTTCCATTGCCACCCAATAACATACGCCATGAACACACCCACATACCTACACAAATACCTTCAGTTGGCTAGCATTAAAAATTCCAGAACTGATTACTTTAGCCAACACAAAAATCATCCCACGTTTATGCACGTAAATTTTCTATAAATTACTTAATGACATCAATATTTTTTTCCTCTGACCTTCTATTTTATTTATTTAACATGCCTTTTTTAAAATATTTCCATTTATAAATCATCTGAACCAAAAAACTCACAGCGCTCAAGAAACTCAGTAAGCTTTACCCATGTAAGTTTTTAATTCAACTTTGATTGTTTTATATTAAACTACTCATCAACTACAAAAGTGAAAATTCTAATCAAGTATTGGACACTAGTTTCCAAAGCTCTTCCAAAGGAACCTTGTAGAATACTCTCAATGCAGGTGGTTTCCACTGCAGCTAGAATCTTAAACACCAGTGAAAACTAAGCAAGTAGCAAGCTCAAGAGGATAAAAAATGAAGCTTTTCATTTCCCAAGTGGCACAAGAATTAAAAATTCAACAAGCGGAACACGGAAAAACAATAACACCAATGCAATTTGAGAAAGTATACTATAATCTACTTTGTCCCAAAACCCACAAAAAAAGAAAAAAGAAAAGGACAAAAAAAAAAAAGTATACCATAACTGCATGTATTGTGTATTCCTAGTCCATTTTGGCTATTGCCGTCTAACAAAAAATGATGGTTGGTGATAAAGAGAATGGGATCCACCAGAGAAGGATATGTGAGTATCACCCACATGGTGGGTCCCATTCAATCCTTTACCATAATTCATCATATCAGAGGGTGGTGATTCTGAAGAACATAATTTTCCAAAGTCTGTTGGTAGTTCCCCATTCAATTTATTGGCCAAGTAAAGTACCACACAAACAAAGATTCACTTACCAGGGCCATGACAGGATTGCCAGAATTTGCAAACAGGACTCTGTCTTCAGAATTTATTTCTTCACCTGACATGTACAATGGGAAAAGAAAGGTCCAACTAAGATCATTTGGCATATGACCAAAAGCTCATATATTTTTCGCTGGCTAAAGAAGGTCACATTCTTCAGATGCAAACTCACCAGCAGAATAACCATTAGCCATTGAATAAGGTTTGCCATGATCTGCTTCTTTGGAGTAATCTGAGGAAAAGACTGACTTTGGGAGCTCAATATCTTCAAGCAACCCATCTTCCATAGGCAAGCGAATAAATTGAAGAATACACTGTGCTTTCGACTTTGTGCCTACATGTTCCGCAATCTCATTCCAGTTATCATTGTAAATTTCCACTGCCTGGAGCAAAAGCAAAGTTTCATGATCTGTCCAGTTATCTCCATCAAAATCACAGAAATCTTTTGTGGAATCCATCCTCAAAAAATCTATACTTGAGCTGCCAGTAAGAAACTTTCCATCATGGAAGCAATCTGAGCAAAGTATCACATCAGCCTGGTCCATGAGAAGAAACCATCAACCAAGTGGAAAAACTGACAGGGACAGTTGACCAAAATATAAATATCAAGCAGAAAACCCACAGAACCATGTGATTAATTATTTTCTGTTTCCCACCATCATGCCAAATTGGAGAAGAGTGTAAAAAGGATTCACAAAAATAACTCAATATTTATTCATTTTGATGAGCTCAAAAACCCAAGGAGAGAAACATTAATCTATCTGAAAGTTAGAAATAGAGGATCAACAACAGTATTGTTTTATTAGTCCTTCAGTCGTCAAATGTTAATACAAGCCATATAAGAAATCGTGTCAATCATATGTTTCAGGCTATATTTGATGAGGTGGTGGTGGGAAAGGAAACAGGAAGGAACAAAATATGACAGCTACAAATGTAAAGTTGAAAACAGGCACAAATGTAATGTTGAATACATTGTCTGTGGATATCTGTGTCTCTTTTATTCTGATAGTCCAATAAACATTTTAGAAAATGAAACTTTATCTTAGTTCAACCATAGTAGCTAGAAAATGGAAATTTATCTTATATCAACCATACATGCCAGTTAAGTCATGCATTACCGTAATAAATTCTCATTTATAGTTAATGTTGACAACCAGCAATGTTTTGTAATTTCAGAATTGCCTGAGAAAAATGTATATTCAGCTTATGTAGGTGATCCAACTCCAACAACCCTGTTCTTGCTCATTATAACTTAATGGGAACTTACTGCCTATTCTCCCATTCAGGTTCTCATTCTAGAAAATGTTTCATCCATTAGAAATGAGTCTACATTCAACTAGTACCAAACAAAGCAAACATGCAGATATATAGACAGGGCAGAAACTATGATAAAAGGAAAGTCCCAAAATTAAAACGGAGATCATATCAAGTACCAAATGTAACTAGAAAGATGTCTGATTGTTTCCATGTTTACAGACAGAACATGGTCAAAAACGGCACAAAAGATCTTAAGCACATGATCAAAAAGGGCACAAAAGATCTTAAGTACCTCTTATGTAAAATGAATCCTGTGTGACCCACATAATGATAGAAGTGATTCTCCTTCCCTAATCAAGGGACAAGACCGAAAGCACATGAGAACTCTTGTACCAATCAAGTGATTACTGCCTCTTCAATAAATAGTTCACCAAATTTAGGGGGCTGAACCTTTCCCCAACTGTCTTTATCACTCTCAAGGTACGTAGGTTTGCTAAATTTAATTTATAGTCTACCACTCATAAACTAGATCCGATGCTTGATTTATCCCTCAACCCCGGACCACCTAGGGCCCCTTGTTGCCCACCTATACTCAACTTGTGTCAATCCAATGGAGGAAGGGCGCAGCATATGATAGTGATCTTTTGAGTAATACCAGGTTTGGAGCAATACCTAAGATCAGCAAACACTACCTTTGCAAGCCTAAATAACCCAAGTAGCAGAATGGTCAGATAAACATCACATTTCTCCTTATTGCAGTCATTGACACGTCAGAAACCTTCCCACGAAAAAGAGAGTGATTGAGAGAGAGAAGGGCATTTCGCCCAGCCATTTGTGACCCTAAATTTTTCCTAGATATTCCAAGGATGCATGGCCATTTGAAAAATAACACCCAACAGGAACTACAAAATAATGTCATGTTGCACCACTCATTGGGCACTCCACAAATCTTTGGCACATTTGCTTTGGCCGCAGTGGATAGAATCAAATAACATTTAAAAGCTAAAAAAAGACTGCCACATTTCTCTCCAGAGTGGTTATCCAAGAAAACCTTCTTTTAGATTAAGTACATTCAAACAAAACCCATTTGTTTGAACCTACAGTTGATATTCTTCCTCTAGATTATTTCCAACTAAAAAAATGTTAGCCATCCCAATTATGGTCTCATTATCAGCCCACAGAAGCAGTGTACATGATCGAAGGAAAATCTGTTAAAGAACATTGTGTGAGGCCTCCAAACAAGCCCTGAGTGTTACGCTTCATTAATAAAGAAAATCTACAATAGCATCCGCATCAACAATCTCTTTTAGTTCATCTGCCAAAGGGACAACTCCTTGCTGATTATCCCAGCAAAGGGACTTAGAATAGCTGTCTCCAATTATCCACCTTGAACCCATAATTATATGTTTTATATATCCCCAAAAACAATTTTCATGGTATGAGTTCTACACTTATATGTAACAGTTTTTTTTTAATTATAATTATAATAATAATAATTATTATTATGATTATTATTATCATTTGTTGTTGTTGTTGTTGTGTATGTAACTTGCACAAAATGAAAGGCTCTACCACGCCAAATTCATTATTATTATGCGGCCTCTGTGTATGTAACTTGTACAAAATGGAAGGCTCTAGCACGCCAAATTCAACACCTACAACTTTTAGCAACTTAGTCCATATTCCTCATTCCGAGAGCACATCAAACCACGAATCTTTCCACAGATCAGAACAAGAAAAGTTTAAAATGAGCTCTCAACTTGCATGAAAATACTGTGCTAGGAACTGCCATGGTTGACATTGTGTACACTGCTGATCTACAATGGAACATTCATGATAGGTATCACCCTACTGCATGCAAATAACCCTGTCCCAAATTTCATAGCTCATTATAACCACCTTCAGTCATTCGAAAATAGCAGAATACCTAAATATTTAGAAGAGGGGATCCAGAATGGAATGCACCCTTCATATAATAAAAACTCAAAACTCCCTTAGAAATTGTCAAAGTAGCTGCTCAAACAATGTTAACTTGAAACTAGAGGCAGAATGTGTTATACCTCAGATTAAGGTCCAAAATATCAAAAGGGGCATCAAGAGAGATAAAGACGCGACCCATAGGAAATATCGTAACTCAGAAAGGGCAGAAGGTGGCAATTTCTCATAACCAAGCCTTATTGGTAATTAAAACATATATAAAAAGGATAGTCTAAAGGCAAATAGACAACTAAAAATTATCTATGCAACTCCAAAATTTCTTCATGGTCATCAGTAATTCATCCCTGCAATCTCACACTCTTACCATGGGAAAGGCGGATAGCACTCAAACTCCCTCGCAAACAGCAACCATCAGTCACAACAAATTTCAAAACCTACCATTTCTCTTGATTCACCACGCAATGCATAGCAGTCACCCAAGTGCAAAGCCCAGAACCACCCTATAGGATTCAAATGAACCCAGACTCTCCAACCGATCAAGAAAAATATTATGTAGGAAACAAGAATATTATCAAGTCCCAGCCAAATAATTTTATCAAACACAATATTTCTCTATTCAAAGCATCTAAGAAATAACCATAAACCCCTAATAGAGTACCTCAAATGCATCATTCAATGAAGAATATGCAGCGCTTGAAATAGGAAAATAAATAAATAAATTTAGCATTTCCTACACAAGTAATAATTCATATGAATGTTGGGCGTTCATTAGATTGATCTAAAAGAAAAAACATGAAATTCTTAAGAATAATCTCAAATAATGTCACCTTCATTGCAATTCAATACTACCCAAGGCATAAGCAACAGGCACAAGCTGTTGTTTAAAGACAAAAAACATAAACACGACATGGGAGCCAAACACGAGTACCAATAGTTCGCAAAGACAAACCTCCTTTTGGGATTGATAGTAAATACGAGGGCAAGGCTGACCGCAACAACTGCAGCGATTCTCACTAAAACGCTCTCGTAGCCTCTGGTCTAGATCAGAAATCGCTCGCCCAGAACCCATGGATACTAAAGAAACATCTTCAGGCCTAAATCTGCTTTTAGGCTTGTCAAAAGAGATTAGGCCATCAATGGACCTAAGTGGGGCCAAAGATATATGAAGCTCCCCATTGTTGTCCTCTTGAAGAAGGGAACCTGGCCTTATAGAATGATGTACACTCTTCTTTGATGAGCTTGTAGCCCTGTAATTGATGATTCCCCAGTGATCTAAGAAGCGAAAAATTTTACTAAGGATGTTGATATCAACCTCAATTGATCCTTCACATTCATTTAGTGAGAGCATCTTCTCAGGATTCTCCATGTACTTAGCCACAATCTTATTCCTAATCTCCACATATCTCTCTTGAGTGAGATCACTAGACTTACCACTCAGAATGCCTGGAACCACGTGCCTCTCTAACCTGTGGAGCTTGGTGGGAGAAAACCATTCTGGAAAGAGAAACCAAAAAACACCCAAGAATCATTTGGTTACATTCTAATAATTCAGTGCACGGAAATTGGCATTTAAACAGGGAAAGAAGTAGACAAAGTCCTGCTATAATTAATGGAAAATATCTCAGTTTCCAAATGAGAAACAATTCATTCAGTAACCAACTTCATGAATTGCCCTGCAACATCCTAATATCTGTCAACAATTTTTTTGTTTTTTGTTTTTTTTTTTTGGGAGGCTGTTAATGTAGTCACCAGTTTTATTGTAAGAGTTAACAAAAAGATAAGCCTCCATCTTTAAAATTGTCATAATTCAAAACCATGTACCCATGTAATCTTTACCCTATATCATGTAATCTTATCTACTGTAACCACTTGATGGTAAACCCTATCCATTGTAATTTGTAAAGCTTATATATTGTAACCTTACAACCTCATCTATTTAATAAGAACTCTAAGCTACATACAACGTAACCTGAATACTTATCTCTAACATGGTATCAGAGCTAGGATTGATGCTCTGTTACTTACTTATGTTATCTCATTTGGTTTCTATTTCCATCACTATGGCTTCATAACTCAGGCAGCAACTCTTCCATTCCTTCATCCTTAATCAGGGTTAGCTTCAACTCATACATTAACTTCATATTGTGATGTTAGGTAGAAACAATTATCTGCAACTGAAATCTCAGATCATGCCTATTACGCATTAGCTAGGATATTCACAAAATCATCGATGGCTCCTATTCAGCCCCAACAAAGCTTCTTGACTGTAAAGAAGGACAAGAGAAGCAAGAGATCAATCTAGAAATATTGGCTTGGCTTCGAACCGACTCGACTGTTTTGAGCTGTAGTTCAAGTTGTTGGGAAAGAAGAAATGGACGTGCTCAACCGAATTCTCTCATCACACCTAAAGACTTGAAGAAAAACTGCAAGGGTGGACAATCAATGACCAATTATCTAAAGAGAACCAAATCTATTGCAGATGCACTTGCATTGGCACATGAGCCAGTTCCAAACGAAGACTTAGTCATGCACACACCCACCGCTTTGAGGAATGAATGTGAACGTTCTATTATTTCTAGCACTACAAGGTCAGATCTCCACGACTCTTCCCAACTTTCTAAAACACTTTCGAATCAAGAAAGGTGAAATACTTTGATATTTAGAAAGGCGGCTCGAAGAACTACATCAAAAGGTCCCTAATACCACTAATCAGTTTGTACGATGTAATCAAGTATGGGGACTGATTCATAATCTAATTCTAATGATACTAGACAAACTAATCCAACTATTTGTCAGATATGCACGAAATCATAACATACAGATCGCAATTGATATAATCAGTGAAACCAGATTTTTCTGTCTAACGATGTCCCCCAATTTTTTGTAGGAGTGAACTTATTGTCTCCATATGATGAAAGCTGGTACCCAGACATCAGCAAACCCACTCACCTGACGTCTGCCACTACCAGTTTACCATAACAATCTGATCATCAAGGCCAGGATCAAACCATAGTACGAAATGGAGTTGGACTTCCAATTTCAAGCGTCGGTAAGGTTTCTCCTCGCATACTTTTGAAATTAAAGAATGTTTTGCATGTTGCCGCCGTCATTTCTTTTGAGAATTTTACTATAGACAAGGGTTATTTCTTTATTTTCTCTCTATCGGGTTCTGTTATTAAGGACCAACAGATAGGGGTGACCCTACTAGAAGGATAGAGTAAAGGGATCATCCGGCTAGAATAAGTGGAGCACCCAAATGATCTCCAGACTAGATAGTAGATACAAAGCTTTTTTTGGTGGAAGGACTGGCACAACCAAATGGCACAGTTGGTTGGGTCCCCCCACCATAAGTATAGGATATTTGCAAAAAGTAAATGCCTATGATTTTCAGGTAATATGAGGATTTCTAAAAATTGTTATACTTGTTTCGCTGGAAAGATTGATATATTACCGTTTCATTATCTGTTTCATTTTCAACTACCCCATTAGAGTTATTGCATGTTGATTTGCGAGGACCTCCCCTCATACCTCATAATGGGCCTAGATATTAATTTTTGACTGTGGGTAAGTTTTCAAAATTTTCTTGGTCATTTCCTTTGGTTAGAAAAATCTGATGCACTTGAATATTTTGAATTCTATTAGTTGATAGAAAATCAGTTTCATTGCCAGATTAAATATTTTCCATGTGATGCGGGAAAAGAATTCACTAAATCACCATTTGCAAACTTTCTTCATAAGAATGGCACTTTTTGACATGTGTCCTGTCCACTTACATCTGAAAAAAATGGCCAAGTGGAGAGTAAACATCATCATGTAGTAGAAATTGGGATAGACTTGCTTGATCAAGCTCACACATCTAAAGATTTTTGGGTTGAGTCATCCTGGACCACGATTTGTTTTGTTAATCGTATTTCAAGTTTAGAATTGAATCGAAAATCTCAATTCGAAGTATCATCGCGAAAAAAAGCCAGATTATGATTCTCTCCAAGTTTTTGAAAGTACATGTTATGCTTACCTTGTTCCCAATTCCTCACGTAAATTAGATCCTCAAACAAAGGCCTCCGTTTTTATTGGCTACAAAACAAACCATCAAGGGTATCAATGTTTAGATCACCAAACATGCCAAGTATATATCCCTTGTCATGTGGTGTTTGATGAAACTCATTTTCTTCTTGCAAGACAACAGGGACCATACTTAGAAAATATTGCATCTCTTTGGATGTCAACTATGGAAAATATTTCTAATTTTCCAAATAACAGTCTTTCTCTTCAACCGCTTGCAGGGTCCAGGCTTACAAGGCCGGTTATTTTACCTCCTACATCTCGTACTTTAAACCTTTTTCTCTCATTGCCAAAATGTACCAACACCTTCGCCATCTTCACCCTATGTAAATCATATTCCTCCACCAACCTGCATGCTCTGTACATTACATGTCTCTTAGTGCCAAGACATACCCATTCCATCTCCAATCAACCTACTACCCCACCAGAAGAAGTTCAAGCCACTCCACCTTCTGTAGACCCAACACCTTCAAACCATACAGCTCCGGAATCTCACTCTGGCACTCCAAGAAAGGTTCTTCTAGGGATCTTTATTTTAAATTTTGGAATCTCAATCCCCATTTTAAAGATCCTATTTCCCACTATTAGGGATCTCGATAACCATGATAACAACCAAACTAATGAATTTGTTTATTCCTAGTTTATTTTTAATATAGTTGCATTGCTTGTTGGCTAAAAATACCTCTACTTTAAATAATATATATAATACAAGGCTACGTATACCCTTCAAGGTTGGGAGAAAGATCCCCTAAAGGCTGGGATCGAAATCCCTAAAATTTGGGAACCTCAATCCCTAACATATGCATTGCACTGATGCCGTTCCCAAACATGGGGATAGCCTTTCACAATCCCTTGCTCCCGATTCCCATCCCAACAACTATGATCAGCGGTTTATAGATCATGCTTTCCCCAACTTGTGTGTAAGCTCCACAAGGCTATTTACAATCTTAATTAAACAAGCCCAAAGGGCATAGTTTTAACATTTTAGCTCCTTTCTCTTCAATATTCATACACAATCAATCAAAATCCCCAATGTTCATCAGCATATTTCTCAAAGTACTCTTATTTTACAGCCATATGTTGATGATATCAATGTTACAAAAAATGCTAGGCAGCCCCTAAGCACCCGGCCCAGGGCACCCAATGTTGGATATAATGATATCCAAAATCACCCATATAAGAAAATCCCATATTATGTGGGATTGAGATTGATATTGATAAGTTTCCTAAAGGAAATAAAAATAAAAATAAAATAGGATTATTGGATATATCTCTTGGTTTTTGAGATATATGTAACATCTATAAGAAATTTCTATTTAATGTGGATTCCTAACCTTATATATATGAGATGAAAGAGCAAAGAATTGGTGTGCCTATTTGGGTCACCATATGGGAAGGTGGTTTCCTCTAGAGGGAGAGAGGCAAGGGCTTCCCAAGGCCTCCCCTTAGAGAGAAGAGAACTTCTTATGTACAGAAACATTGCAATGGTGCCTCCTGTAGACTCCTGTAGATTGAGAGGCTGGTTTCTTGTAGAGAAAAGGTTCCTATTGAGATTTTTGGTGATTTCCTCTTTTAGTTAGAGAGAACAATAGTTTATCGCTGCTCTCGCGTCTCTATCTGGTGTTCTTGATAATGGTTGCTAGAAGTAAAGAGAAAGAAGAGTGACATGTGGTGTCAATCGGGAGAGTGTTTTAAAAGGGTTTATTGGACTAGGTTTTCTCAAGGGTTAGAGAGGTAACTCCATGTCCCAAAATATATGATGTAACTTTCATAGGTAATATATGATGTAACTTTCATTGGTATAGTAGATTTCAATTTGTTGTGGCCGTTGATGTAGTCACATCTGTGATAAACTACGTAAATCATGGTGTTATTTTTCTGTTATTTCTTTCCTGCTTTATTTTTTCTTGCTTGTTGCTTGTTATATTTTTCTTGTACTTTATTTGCCAAAATCAACCAGTCGGGTTTAAAGCTTCCGCACACAACACCCAGCACCCACACAAGGGTGCCTAGGCAGCTGCCCAAAACCTAAGGTGACAAATTTTCAAAACTATGAATATATATATGCTCTCAAAACATATATAAAATCATTTATGATTCTGAGAAGTTTAGAACTTAGGATAGATTCTAATATAATTAATGGAAAAACATGAACTTTCTAGTGAGAATTTGACCAGAAAGTACTTGCATTTGATGACCTCAAGAGAGAGAAATGCATGAAGCATAAAACGCATAGGTATGATAGAATGCAGGAGAAAGAAAGAGAGAGAGCAAAACCACCACAATCAAACGCACAGAGAAAACAAGAACCCCAGCAACCAAACTCAGAGAAAAGAACAAAACCACCATAATAAATTGCAGAGAGAAGGAAGAAGAACCGAGATCAATTGCAGAGAAAACAAATAAAATACTAACCAGCATGCACGGGCAAGACGAGGAGACATTCCTTCTCCATTCCAGGCATTATAAGCCGCTTGATGACACCTTTCCCTTCAATAATTGTCGGCGAAGTGCAAACATAGGTGGAAGACTCTGGTTTCTCTTGATCAGGAGGAGTGAGAAAAGGACTATCACAAGGAATGCTTGATAACGTTTGCAATTGACCATGAGAGATGTTCTCCAAGAAGAAACCATGAGACCTGGTTTTCTCCTCCCTAAAATCATGGGAAAAAACCGCCCTTTCTGCACATATTAGGGCCAAAACAGAGGGATGGGGTCTCGCCAATTTTTGCTCAAAAACCACAGGAAAGTCCAAGATTTGGACCCCATTTCCATTCGAGGTCTCGATGGGCTCGCCAGAATCCGAAGCCATTATTGGAGAGTCATCATCTTTGGCTTGTTTCTCAGGAAGAGCAGAGGAATCTTCGTCGTCCGAGAAGCTTCTGCCATTGCTGTTCTCCCTCCTCCTCTTCAACTTGATCCTAATTCCTGTAGCAAAAGTCACTCAAAGATTTTACCGCAACAAACGCACAACCAAAAAATTACAGGATAGAGAGAGAGAGAGAGAGAGAGAGTGAGAGAGAGAGGATTTACCTGGAGGAATAGAAGGGGAAGCCGACATAGGGGGAAAGAGAGAATTAGTAGGTATTGCAGTGGGCGAGAGAGAGGGAAGACATGGTATAGAAAGAGAGAGGGGAAGAGAGAGGGAAGAGAGAGAGAGAGAGGAGAGAGTATTTTAAGGGTATAGTANTAGAGAGAGATAGAGGATAGTAGAGTAGTAGTAGAGAGAGAGAGAGAGAGAGAGAGGGGGGTAATTAGTGCCCCAGATGGAGAGGTCCTTCGAGGATGAGAGGGAGGGGGAAATCGAAGAGAGAGAAAGGTCAGTCGAGGCTTAAAGGAGTTTCAGCGGAGAGAGTGGGTGTGGTGTCGGAGAGAGAGAAAGCAGTTGCAAATATCGAAGAGAGAGAAGGCGAGAGGAATAGATAGAGATCGAAGAGAGCCGATGATGGCCCCAAATAAGTTTTTGGGAAGTCGCAAACATCCCCCAAGATGCCTTCTTACTCAACATCCCCCCACCCACTTTTTTATCACTCACTGAACTCAATATTGTTTTGTATAGCATTTGCCCCATTCAACAAATGAAAGTCAACTTAAATGAAGATAAAAATATCCTTTCCCTTAAGTAAGGTCTACGCCCATTAAGAATGGGGTTGAGGTCGCGATAGTAGCACTATTTGAGCCGCAACTATCCGTTTAAGTTTCAATTCCCATTGACACAATCAAAAGCCGTTAATTATTTAAAAAAATGGGTAGGGACCTATATTTCCCACCAATCTGTAAAAAAAAAAAAAATCTACGCCCATATCTATCTCTCTTAGCACCCACGAAACTCTTCTCTCTTTGTTCCCAACCCTAACACAACTCTCCCTATCTATCTCCAAACCAGCCCAAAAAAGTTCGCTCCCTATCTATCTCCAAACTAGCCCCAAAAGGTTGAGCCCAGTACAGGTAATCTATCTCCAAACCGGCTCCAAAAAGTTGAGCCCACTGCAGGCCGCCAAAAGTCACTGTAAAATCCGATACACAATTTATTGCTTGACGCATTCGGTCCAACGATTCTCGATGCCAAGCCAGCACTTTTGTGCACCGGTTTGGTACGTTTTCTTATTGGGTCATTTTCGGTCCGACATTGGTTATGTGACAGACCGATGTTGTATCATTGGGTTGAGGTCCGGCAAAAATATTTGTCGATTCGTTTTTCGTGATTTAACAGGAAATGTGAGGCTAAGTTAGTTTTAAGATAAAAAGTAGTGATTCAAGAAGTAGTTGGGGGAAAAGATGCATAAAAAGTTGAGCCACCAGTCGGGGAGAGGGGGATGGTAAGTAATTTTTTCTAATTTTTACAACTTCTGACCACTCTCTTGCAAATTTGTACAACCTTAATGATTGTTTAATGTCTATTTGAGGAGACGGTTACATCTGACCCTTAAGGGAGTCTTCTTTTTTTTTTTTACTCCAAAATTTGCATATGCCCTTATCATTATTCGATAAAACAACTCTAAGGAAGGAAAATTTAATTTTGAATTCTTAAATTCTTAGATCTTAATGTCTTACAAAATTGATAAGCACACTTCTAACTCTCAAGCCTTTTTGTACACTGTATATGGTTTAGTATGGAATGAGCCTAAAATTGGTAAGCCATTGTGCATAATGGATGGATGTTATAACATCCATAGCCACTGGGCATGGCGCATGGACACGCGTAAACCATGCAAATTATAGAACCCCTTCTAAGACATGCGTACACCATGCAAATTATAGAACCCTTCTAAGATGCCAGACGCGAGGTCATGCCCAATGAAATCATCATCGTCAAAACCTTTTTTCAACCGTGCCCCCATAAAATCTAAACCAAATTCAAAGGTCTTGTCTAAAAACTTTAATATGACAAATATAGTGTTTGAGGGAATGGGGTTGGGGGATGCCTCAAACATAACTCCCATCCTCCATTCCCACCCTGCCTTATTTTGATTGTTTAAGTTTGATATACTTTGATCGTTTAAGCTTGATACCTTATACAAATCACACCTTTTATAAATAGGTTGAAGTAGTGACACTGTGTGTTTACAATTTGGTAAAAAAAAGGTTAACACCTTAAATTGTAGAATTAAGTTGCACCTAAAAAATCCGATGCACTTTGTATGTGTACTCTAAAACTGTGCCTTAATGTCATAGTTTAAGATTGATACCTTATACAAATCACACCTTTTCTAAATAGGTTGAAGTACTGATACTGCATGTTTATAATTTGGTAAAAAAAATTAAACACCTTAAAATGTAGAATTAAGCTGCACCTAGGAAATCCATCGCAAAAGGCCATTTTGATATTGGAAAACCATATAATTGATCATCTTAAAGTTGAGATGTATAGATATGGGAAAAAAAAAAATTGTTTCAAATATTAAAAATAATACATCTTGCAACACATTATTTAGACTGCTATTTTCAAGATTTTCATGCGTTTTATAGAACTTCTTGATTTGAAGCACTTTGGAGTTTAAATTTTATAGTTTCAGGCAATGGTTTAAAAACCGGATCGGTGACCCGGATCGGGCTTTTCAAAAACCGATCCGGATCGGCGAATCGGCGATCCGGATCGGAATCGGGTGAATCGGTCAGAATAAAGCTTCAAAAAAATCCGAAAAAATTATTAAAATTCATTATAAATATTGGTTTTTAGGAATTCAATAAAAAATGAGGGTACTCCATTAAGAATTTTCATGTTTTTGAATGAATATACAAATATTGATATGTTCTTTCCCTGCATGAACCGCCATTCAGCATTTAATTTACAGTATTTCGTGCTCATCCCTACACTGTTGCTG